CCTCAGCCTCCCAAAGTGTTGAGATTACAGGCATGAGCCACTGCACCCAGCCAAGAACTGTATCTCTTAATCTTCTACAACCTTAAAAGATAGATATTATTATCAGTTCTACTTTGCAGATGAGAAAACTGAGATTTAGAGAAGTAAAGCAACTTGTCCAAGGTCATACAGCTAGAAGACCTTAAAGCCCATGCTCAAATTCAGGTCTGGCTGGCTCCAAAGCTGTGTTCTCTGTTTGTTGTTTTATTTTATTTTAATTTTTAATTGACACATCATTGTACATTTTATGGGGTACATAGTGATGTTTCAATACATGAAATATATAGTGATCAGATCTGGATAATTAGCATATCCAACATCTAACAAATTTATCATTTATTTATTTATTTACTTATTTTGAGACAGTGTCTTGGTCTGTTGCCCAAGCTGGAGTGCAGTGGCACAATTTCGGCTCACTACAACCTCCACCTCCTGGTTTGAAGCCATTCTCATGCCTCAGCCTTTCAAGCAGCTGGGACTACAGGTGCCTGCCACCACTCCTGGCTAATTTTTGAATTTTTTAATAGAGACAGGGTTTCACCATGTTGGTCAGGCTGGTCTTGAACTACCAACCTCAAATAATCTGCCCACCTTGGCCTCCCAAAGTGCTGGGATTACAAGTGTGAGCCACCATGCCTGGCCTCAAAAATGTATCATTTATTATTGTTAATTATAGTTATCCCACAGTGATATAGAACACTATGATTTTTTTTTTTTCTGAGATGGAGTCTCACACTTGTTGCCCAGACTGGAGTGCAATGGCGTGATCTTGGCTCACTGCAACCTCCGCCTCCCAGGTTCAAGTGATTCTTTTGCCTCAGCCTCTCAAGTAACTGGGATTACAAACTCCTGCCAACATGACTGGCTAATTTTTGTATTTTTAGTAGTGATGTGGTTTCACCATGTTGGTCAGGGTAGTCTCAAACTCCTGATCTCAGGTGGTCTGCCCACCTCAGCCTCCCAAAGTGCTGGGATTACAGGTGTGAGCCACTGCACCCAGCCAAGAGCACTAGAATTTATTCCTCCTATCTAAATGTAATTTTGGGCCAGCGAGGTGGCTCACACCTGTAATCCCAGCACATTGAGAGGCTGAGGAGTGTGGATTACTTGAGCCAGGAGATCAGTGTGAGTAACATTGCGAAATCTCGTCTCCTCAAGAAGTACAAAAAATCAGCCGGGCATGGTGACATGAGCCTGTAGTCCCAGCTACCCAGAGGCTGAGGTGGGATGATCACTTGAGCCCAGCAGGTCAAGACTGCAGTGAGCAGTGATTGCACCATTGCACTCTAGCCTTGGCGGCAAAGTAAGACCCTACCTCAAACAAACAAATAAATGTAATTTGGGGCTAGTGTGGTGGCTCACAGCTGTAATCCTAGCATTCTGGGAGGCCAAGGTGAGAGGACAGCTTGAACCCAGAAGGTCAGGGAGGCAGTGAGCCGTGATCCTGCTGCGAAACTCCAGCCTGGGCAACAGAGACCCTGTCGCAAAAAAATTGTAATTTTGTGTCTTTTTTTTTTTTTTTTTTTTTTAGACGGAGTTTCACTCTTGTTACCCAGGCTAGAGTGCAATGGC